TTTCAGTTAACTTTTCTAAATATACTATCAAAAGATGATGAAAACCAAAATATAATTAGCACATAACTTATTAGAATAAAATTAATAAAAAAAATATATATATAATAAACTGCAATTTTTAGCTTGGACTAGATTTAATCCTTTGGTTTCAATGAGGAAGGGAAAGAATCAACAAAATGAAAAGAAAAAAAAAAAAGAAGATTAAAAAATATTTTTTTTTTGAAATTTTTTTGTATATTTATCAACCATGTGTATATATACACAAATATTAATACAATGAAAAGTACTTCCAAACTAAAGCACATGTGGGACAAATCCAAAATTTTATACAGCAAACATTCTTAAAAAAATTAAATTTTCATTTGACCAACTAAAGTCAACAACCATATCAACTAATTTAATATCTTAAGTTAAAATAATTAATTATTATCTTAAGTTAAAAGAGAATTCATTATTCAAATAAAACTAAAATTTTTTGAACTTAATAGGAAAATAAAATTATAATTAATTTGAACAATTTAAAAGGAAGTGATGGAATTTAGGATTCTTAGCCATCCATTGTTTTTAAGTTTTTGCAAACCTTATTATTATTATTATTATTATTACTACGTAGTAGTAATATTGATGAGGACAGTCAAAGTGGAGAAGCTTACTCTTGGTGTGAACACCATAGAATTTTATTTCTGATAACAATAACAAGGAAAGTAGTAATTAAATCAAGGAAACAAAAGTTCTAACCTGAATTACAATTGATGCTAATTCATCTTTTATTCTTAAAAGGCATCAATTGCAATTTGTGCTAAATACCCTGACAATTAGATTAAAAAAATATATACATAAATGGACTAAAATTAATCTAATCTAATCTAATCTTTCTGAACTTCAGTTGATGCAGTATTATCGTCATCATTCGTACTGTCGTCTATTGTTGCTAATTGCTTTTCTTTAGAACTATTTAGAGAAAATCGGCATGCCTCCACCGCATCTTCAATGCACAAAAAGATCGATTCTTTTCCAACCGTGTCGACAAAATGTGATAATGTGAACTTCTCTAGCACTTCTAATCTGGGATTTATCAGTAAAGTCTGTTGCAACAACACAAAGATTGAGGTTTCAGTGTTAAAATTATATTATTTTTTAATAATTAATATGTATATCACAAAAATCGCAAAAAATATATAACAATTGTAAGGAACAATCAATATTCACTCACCTTGATTCCATTTCTCTGCATAGCTCTACGTATTTCCATCAATATGTCAATGCCAGGCAAGTCAATAGATGAAACTCCTACACACACAATTGTAAGTAATTGACATGAATATAATGTATATATAAATGTGTATTATGAATCATAGTGTTATACGTATATATATGTATCCTACCTGTCAAATCTATTAGAAGGTGCTCGATAACATCGTCTTCGGCATTTGAAATAGACTGTTCTTCTCGAATCCACCTCATTACCCTACTCAAGAAGCAGTATAAAAAAAATAACTTTAGAATCAGAAGCTACAACAAACATCTGACTTTTACAAAAAAAAAAAAAAAAAAGTTAAACATCTTCAAAATGGTAATAACACCTCTGATTATATTAAACAATTGAATTAATAAACAAAAAAAATGAAATAAAATCAAATTATGAGTTAAATTAGTATAAATAATACATAATATATTACCTTTCTTTAATGTAAGATACATTTGCATAGTAAACAGGAGATCCAAGTTGCAGAATTAGGATTCCTGGCACAGTTGCAACTCCTGGATATTGCTCTGTGTCGCGATATAAATTTGAATTTGGTAGTCTCCCAAGCTTGCAAGGTGCTGGCCTTGCAACATACAGAAGTCCCCTGATTATCGCCAGTAAAACCTGAGAAGAAAATTAATTTAATTATTAATTGATATATAACGTTACATAAAAGTTGGAAAAAAAAAAAAAAAAAGCCTCAAGTAAACAAATTAAATTCGTACAAAATGTTTGCCGGAATTAAAGGATAGAAATTGGATTAATAGTGTTTGTGATGTGAGTTTGTACTTACAGAGAGGCTGATGCCGACATCCATGCTCAAGAAGGCGACACCCAAGAAGGCAGTCATAGCAATACAGAAATCAAATTTGTCTACTACGAATAAGTGATAAAACTTTTCATATTTGATGAGACCTAACATTGCGGACATAATAATGGCGGAGAGAGCCACGATAGGAGTGTAACTAAAGAGAGGAGCCAAGAACAAAAGCACCAGCATCATGGAAATCGCCATTACTATATTCGACATTGCTGTTCTAGCCCCTGCGTTGAAGTTCACCGCAGTTTTGGAAAATGGCCCTGCCAAAACCATTTCAAAAATTTTTATAAATTAAAGAAAATCACATATCTTTAAGTAATAGTTAAAATCATATATCACAATCTACCGGATGTCAAGTAGCAGGAAGCGAAAGATCCAAAGACGTTCATCAGACCCAAAGCTATCATCTCTTTATTCCCATCAGTTTGCTCGTTTTTCATTACAGCAAAGCTCCTTCCAACTGCTATACCTTCCTGCAAGCATTATTAGTTTTCAAATTAAATGACATTTATCAATTATTTAATAATTAAAATATGAATTAAGGCAGCATTATAGATACAGAAAAAACAAAAAAAAAAAAAAAAAAAAAGAAGAAGAAAGAAATAGGGAGGAGAAGTCTTACTGCCAGAGCCACAAGGCCAGTGACGGTGCCAGCTTTCAATACGGCAGGGAGAAACTCGGGGTTAAAGTTCAAAAATTGAATTGATATCGGATTCAATCCTTTCTTCAATTCACCAACCTGAAGTAAATTACAGATTTTTAAAATTTTTTAACAATGTTTTCAAATTATTGAATCGAAAAAAGTAATAATGGCTTACAATTTGGATTCCGTGTTTCTCAATATCGGCTAAGTAGGCAAACAAACAACCGGCTGCAACAGAAATCATTGGAGCCACGGCCGATACCCAAAACAACTTTGGATTTCTTTTACTCTGCCATAATTTAATATCAGTATAAATGTAAATATTATCTATTTAATTTCTAATATTAAAATAGTTTAGATTAACTAATTATATTAATTTAATTTTATAAATACTTTTTAAAATTAAAAAAAAAAAAAAAAAAAAAAAAGTGATGTAGATAACCCACTCACCACACATCTCGTCACTTGAAGGAAAATGAGGAAGCATACACCAACAACTGCGCTTTGCCACCTCCACTGTAATGATAATTACGGAATTAGCTTCAACTTTTTTATATCACAAGTGGATAAATACATTTAATACATGTTGTTTGATACACCAACCACTGATTTATTCTTTCTGACCGGGATGATTTTCTTTTTAAGACGGAATTTGGAAAAAGAAGACTAAAGTTGACAAACCTCGGCTCTATTCTCGAAGATGCTATGCAAAACTGATATGACGTCGGTTTTATTGGTAAATTTTACCAACCCGAGCATTCCCTTCATCTGTTGCAGGCTTATGATCACGGCTGTGCCTCCCATGAAACCAGTAATCGTAGAATGAGACAAGAAGTCCACCAGAATCCCCAGTCTGCATAAATTACACCATAAACATCCATATGTAATTAATACATGCATACAAAACAGATTGATAAATGGGATAATAGCAACAATAAGGAAGAAAATCAGTAAATATTATTAATTCATGTAATGATGATATTTGCTCTACATTTTCATCTTTCGCCTATGTTTCAAATTTTTAGAGTTGTTCGCATTATAAATAAAATAAAAATAGCCGGTAATTAATTTAAATAAAAGGATAAAAATAAGATCCGATAGTAAAGAAGATCACTGCTATAACACACTAATACTAAATCTTCTTCATTCTAGATTCACAATTTTTATAAGACAATCATATATATACACATATCCGGAATTAAATAAAAACACACACATATATATGTATGCATAGGAAAAAAAAATGCAGGGTAGCGGGAGACTGCACCTTAGAAAACCTAAGGCAGCTTGGATAACGCCGGTGACGAAGGCAGTGGTGAAAACCAGGTGAAGATACAACGTGGGTTGTTCTGTGGGAGACGCTTTTTCTCCAAGTGTTTCTGCTATGAGCAAGGTGCAAGCCGCCAGCGTCCCCACGGCTAGATATTTGGAGCTCCCGAAAATGGCGTACACTATGGGTGGTAAAAAGCTGGAATCTGCCCAAAATTAAACACAACAGATTTGAAACACGCCATTGGTGTGTCTTAGATATGCAAAATAATTAATTAATTTAAAATCTCCAACCGTCCATAAAATTAGGCAGGCAATACAATGGTTAATATTCTAGTTAAACAATTAATTAATAGGTAAGAAGACATTAATTCGAAAGAGGAGTCATACAGAGGCCGATAATGGGAGGAATGCTGCCGAGTTTGGCATAGCTAATGCCCTGAGGGATGGCGAGGCTGGTGATGGTCATTCCGGCGAGCAAATCGTATCTAAACAAACGGAAATTATAGGACGGGAGCCATCCGAAGATAGGAACAAAGTATTGGAGAGCCTTTCTGGCTCGTCGGAGAGGCTTGTCATCAGAGAATTGCTTAAAAGGATCGTCGGGGAAGAAAGTCTCTCTGCAGTCAGATTTGAAGGTGGATATAAATCCTCTTGGGGGGGCAAAGTTGACACGATTGGCAGATGCCATAATTGGTGAGTATACACGTTAGCTTGTGATGGAGAAAGAGGAAGACGATGTGAGGGTGAGTGTTTGAGAAAGAGCAATATATAGGAGAGGTGGAAGCAGCTAAGTAGGCATTTATGTAGAGAGCAGGAAGCAGGTAGTGGAAGATGAAATTACAAAAAAGACAAGTTAATTAGGAAACCATTAACGTGAGTGAATCTGTTAGGATTTTGAGTAATTGTCAAATTAGTTAGTTTATCTCTCTCTCTCTTTCTTGCCCTAGTTTTCAGTCAAATAAGACCAAGCAACTAACTACTTTTACAGCTCCAACCAGTTTCAGTAAAATAATATAACTGATGCCAGTGACTGTAAACACTTGTTTTATTATTTATAATTAAGATTTTAATAATTTTATTGAACATCTACAAATATGGATCCACCAAAGAGCGAGTCAGATACCCCATGATCATGGTAATTACTATGCTAATAATATGTTGTAAAGTAACACAAATAATGAGGAAATAGTAATCTCAATTAAAACATGCATTTAATTTAAAATCTGTTGTGGAAATGATAACATAATTAAGCACTTAATTAGAAAATAATTAATAAAAATAAAAATTAAGCATTTATATTATGCCTAAGTGTTTTAGAATTAGAAATGGTTGTCATCATTAACCCGGAAGTGGTAAATTTTAAATACGACGGAGAAATGAAATATATATACTTGGAAATTAATCTTTTTGATCCCTTTATTCCGCACCCATAGAATTAAAATAAAATATATATGATTATTACACATTCATATCATTTGTCTATATAACACGTGCCTAATTAAAATAACTAATTTCCTGTTCTTCCTCTCCTTCTTTTTCTTTTTTGAATTTAAAGTTTGACTCTGTATGTTTCGGAACAAATTAATCACCTACTTTTTTTTTTTTTTTTTTTTTTTTTTTTTTTTTTAAATTTGCTTTAAAATTCTTATTTAAATTTTATAAAATCTTTCCAAACAAATACGGCAAAAATATATATATATATATATATATATACATGTAAGTAAATTATATTAATTAGCCTAACATCAATACCAAATTCATATCCATATTTTTAGATAAAAGTTTATATATCTCAATAGTGATAAAAGTACAATTAATAATGTTATAATTTTTAATGATAACACACATTTTATTTTGAATTTATATATAAATTATATCACACAACTGAAGGAGAAAATAATAATGAAAAATGACATTTTAGATTTCAATAATCATTCCATTATTACGGTTAAAATGTATAACGTACGGAAAGAAGAGCTCATAGGGCCAGAACTCAGGCCGGCAAAGCAAAATATTTAGCCCAACACAATCCGAATAATCTAAAACTTGAATTACAAGCTGCAATTTCTCAATAATCGAACATATATTGATTAAGAACAAATCAACGAGAAGAATCAATTGGCTTTTCTTTTCTTTTCTTGAAAAAAGTTGGAAAATAACACAATATCCATTAATTAAATAAATTTATACCCACATTAGGATATAATTAACTTAGTTAATTAATTGATTAACGTATTGATTTTTGCTTCCAGAACATCAGAGTAAAAACCCAACCCAGATCACCACACACACACCTCCCTCAAATGCGAACTTTCATAATGCACATCTCTCTGCGCATGCACTGCCACCACATCCATTTCTCTGATTGAGTTTAATTTAAAGTAACTAATTTTAGATCTTAATCATTTCATATGTAACAATTAATCATTAAATTAATTCTATGTTATGTCTGCTTGTACACAATAAGAATTAGAAAACTGTGTTATTTTCATTCACATTTCTAGTTTATGTAACTAGAAATTTGGACCGAATTAATTTAATAGTTAAAATATTAATGCTTCTCGTTAATACCTTTATAGATAAATCAATCATAAACCATAACTACCGGTTTTAGAGTAATTTGAGTTCAAATCATTACGAAATCGATTTGTTTTAAATATATTCTTATTTACTTTCTAGATTTTAATTATTTAATATTTAATAAAAATATTAAAATTCTTAATCAAAATATTCTAATGAGCTTTTTTTAATTTATCATTAGAGTTCAAAATGTCGGAAAATTAAGTATCAATTGCCTATTGACATATTTAATATATTACAATTAGGATCTAAACAATCTTGAGTTAATATAAATTTATTATTTATATTAGGCGTTAGTAATTATTGATTAGAAATCACTAGTTCATCTTTTTAATGAAATTGAATAAAGTGGGAGTGCATGATAATGATGCATTATTTGCATAAATTATAGTTATATAGTTGAGTTTGTATAAGTGTGTTAGTGTACAAATGGTGTTTTGGGAAATGATTATGTTCCATATAATGTAAATATTTCCCACATCAACTCACCCATCTATATAGATGTCAAAAGTAATAGTTAGTTATTTAATTTTTGTTGGTATATTAATGGGTAATGCTAATTAAATATTTCTAAAGTATGATACTAGAATGAAGTAAATAAAATTTTTTGATTAAATTTTGTTTGGTCGAACTTAATATGTTAAAATGTTAATAATGTGTGAATTGAAAAGTAGACACGGTTAAAATATTACATGAAAATTAGTCTACTCCTCAAAACTAACAAAACATATATATAACTTATAGATTATTATACACATTGCAGCTTCCTTACTGTAGCTAATATATTAAAGATTTTGTTTTGTATTTTTTTTTTTAGACAATTCATAAAATATTTTATTAATATTAAAAATATCAAAGAATAATTTTTTTATAAAATCAATAATATAAAAGTCAAAGTACTGTCTAATAGTTTATAAAATAATGAATTTTTATTTAATATTTAAAAAGATGATGATTTTACATACTACAACAAATTTTGGTGGGCAAAATGCAATTATTCTAAAGGATATTATAATATATACATACATAATATATATATATATATATATATGTATAGAGATGAATATCTATTACATTGTGTAACACGTTTTAATATACTTTTCCAAAATTCTTTAACCGATTTAAAAATAAAATCCTAAAAATAATTTTTTTTTATTTTTATTTTTTTTACATCCAGTTACTACACTACGGTTTGTTAATTGTGGCGTACACCTACTAGATAAAGTATTCACTTAGTATCTTTAAAACAGTAAATGTAATTAATAAATTTATGAAATGTTGCCTGTTGATGATAATTTGTAATAATATATTATTCCTGTTTATTAGAGGTAATATATAGCTTAATTTTTACTTGTCCGTTTTTCATACACGCTGTTATGCACGAAGAAGCTATTTAAGAGATGATAATCCCATAATAGCCAAATACAAATATTTAATTATAAAACCCATTTATTGGTTTATTATAGTATAAAATAATGTCTTTTCTTTGTCACCACTTGTAGTTTTTTTAGCTAAAAACTTGTAAATGATTAATAGGAATGAGATACTAAAATCGATATGTCAAATCTCATATCGTATGAATATTTAATGAGATTAACTTTGTGATTGGATTAACCCATTAATTCAATAAGCTTAATAGTAATTTCCTCCAAAAATATGTGAGAGTCAATTTTAGAATTTAACCTTAATCTCATATTATGATTAAAAAAAAATATTTTATTTGAGAAGGTTAAAAAAAAATTAAATTAAATATCTGCTATACATTTTCAGTTATTACTAATGCAATAAATATATGCAAAATAAATTTTTTTTTTAAAAAAAAAAACAAATCATGATTTTAGCACGAATAACTCAAAAAATAAAGAAAAAATATAACTATTCAAAATACACAAAAGCTAATCGGACGCGGCCTCTTTTTTACCTCAAAAAATATATAAGCCTTTGACAAATTCATTGACTGTGATATATAGTATTGCAGAAGTCTTGAAAGTTAAACGCCTCATATTTGTTGGTCATATACACATATATATATATATATATATATATATGGAAATATACGTGGCACCCATTTTTGTATATACTGTATATCTATTTATTGAAATCGAACGTAGATATTGTTGATGCAGAAGATTTCCTCACCAAATCCCATTATTGCTAATGACCAAAAGGTTTGTACATAAATGAAGCTACTCGGGCAGCACCTATTGATAAGATGTTAAATTAAGAACAATTATTAAGTATTTTAATAACATAAATCAGTTAGTAGATTTTATGTATACTTTTAATTTTTTTTTTAAAAAATTGAAATAAACTAATAATATATTTTTAAAATTTATCAGTTCATATATATTTTTAAAAACATTTTATAATTACTCTATCATAAATCTATATTTAGAGAATATTTATATATGTATGACGCCCATGCTATTCCTTAAAGGAATTACAATTGTCAAATACTATATATGCAGCAGAAATACAATTAACAAAATATTTATAAATTCAAAATATTCATCATCTATCATTTGACCATATTATAACATTGTTTACAATACATGATATTCGTATGATAGAGTTAAAACAACATAGATACTCGTTTGGTTGTAAAATATAATTTTTGTCACGGGTGCTCATACAGTTTCTTCTTGATTCGGTTCACATGTGAGATTCTCATAATTCACAATCGGATCATCTTGATCTAGAAAAATGATAATTTAATGGGATGGATAATTTCAACGCGCTCAGTAAGTATGAAAAATAGTTTACACTCTAAGCATATGACATGAAGTCAAACAATCAATCAAGGATGTAAATTTTTTTTTTCTCTTTTTATTTGAAACCTATGAAATGCAAAAGTATTTCATTTCTTATCTCATCTCTCATTGTTCCCCCTAACTTCCTTCTATCTCTCAAAATTCCCCTAAGTTTAGGTATTATCCCTCTAAATTTTCTTACACTTATTTTTCCTCAAAATCCATCTAAATTCATTTTATTCCACAATTTCAAACCATCTTTTTTCTCTCAGAATCACTACAAGAATTTCTCACAAATTTTTGGTCAAATCAAGACATATGTAATTCAATATCCAGGTCTGAAAATTAAGTTCGGGATAATTAAATTATAATAATAAGATAAATTAGAA